AAAAAATTTTTTTTAAATCCCTTTTTTAAAAACACTTTTTTTTTTTTTTTTTTTTTTTTTTTAAAGTTTAAACAAACGGACCCTTAATCATTTTTCTTTGATAAAGAATAAATGCTTTTAAAAGAGAGCAAAACAAAATAAGAGGAGTAGAAATACTCCCATACACAGGCATATTATTAGATTTTTCTTTTTTGGCAATTATTTTGGAGTTGTGAATGTGATGAATGAGAGGAACGTTCAGTGTTTTAAGTTAATTAGCATGTATAAACCACTTGGGTTTGCTAATTTTTTTTTTAATTCAATTCTGACGAGTTAGTGTTGTGGAGTTTAAATGATCAGTAAGCAGAAAGGTGCAGCTTATGTTTTAGGTAGGCAGTATTATATTAGGGCCTTTTAAGCCATTGTAGGTTAATCCGTGTTATCATTGTTTTTTCATCATTTGACCTGATGTACCTGAGTCTTTTCACGTCCCTCTTTTTTCCATAAATTTTTAAGTTAGAAAAAGCTTGTTTGCTTGATATATATTGTCTACATTGCACCATACAATAGTTTCACCACAGTAGCCCTGTATTTTGGCAACACTTAGGTGCATCTTATAGGCTTATACACATGATAAAATGATTGCAGCGTGGCTTTTTACAGGGAATTGCATGTCTGTTTATATGATATATCTTTTTTTGGTGGTTTTTGGGTTAAAATAGGTTGAGAAGAAATCAGTTCCACACCCTGAGAGGCCAGATCGCCTTCGAGCCATTGCTGCTAGTCTTGCTAGAGCTGGTATTTATCTATTGTAATTATTTGGTGCAATCGTTCATTTTTCTTGACTATCAAAATTTACAGCTTAGCACTACTACTGATTTCCTTTCAATATAAATTTATATTTGATAGTGTTATTGATCATGCAGGCATATTTCCTGGAAAATGCTATTCAGTTCCTGCTAGAGAAATCACACCAGAAGAACTTATTACAGTAATTTGCTTATATTATATCTTGAATGAATACGCAGAATGTAGATATATCAGATGCCTATGGCATAACTTCTTTTTATTTTTATTTTTTATATATATGAAGAATACGTGAGATGCTGATACAGTAGGGCTACAAACAGTTGCAGTTCAATTACTAGATATAATTGTTAATGATATATACTTAATATTATTTGGTAGGGTGTATTAATGGTGAAACTGACTTTTGTATTCAGATATAATATATGATATATGACATACATCATCAATGATATATGCTGGTTTGAAGGACAGTAGGGCTGCAAACAATTGCAGTTCAATTACTAGACATGCTTGTTAATGATATATGCTTAATATTGTTTGGTAGTGCATTAATGGTGAAACTGACTTTTCTATTCAGAGACAATACATAATGTAGGATATACATTATCAATGATATATACTGGTTTGCAAGATTATAACCCATGGATAAATGGGGCCAAAACTCGTCTTATGGCTTTGGTGCACCCCATTTTTTATGACACTATTAATCACCATTATTAGTTTTCAAAAAGTTCCAGTTCAAAAATATATATAGTAAATTGTTGTAGTTGTCTTTTGAGATTGTGATTATGCTAATAGGAAAATTTGTTTTTAATTTCTGGTTCCTTGTCCCCTCCCTTTCCTTTATCTAACAGTAAATCCATGAAGTAATTCTTACTCTTACCTTTACCATATTGGAATTGAAGGTTCACTCTTTGGACCATATTGAATCTGTGGAAGTTACAACTGAATCAATTTCTAGGTGCGTTAATCTCTCCTCAAAATGCATATTTTGTTATTCATTTTTCCTTTTGACGTAGATGCGTTTTTTTTTCAGAGTACTAGCACTCTACTATTGGTTAAAATTTATTGGAAACTACAAAATCATGAGTGAGACTCATTAATTGTGAAGTAAGGTCCACAAAATTATGGGGTCTCTAATAAATTTCACTTAATAATAGTGTGTTTAAAAGAGTGGTTAACATTTCTCTGTTTCTTATTACCACATTACTCTGTTGGTCCTCTTTTCTGATTTTTGTACCTAAGCATAAATCTCTGCTGTCATGTACCAATACCGACATCCTGACCCTCAGATTCCATTCAATGCTTTAGTGTTTTTTTTTTTTTTTTTTTGACACCAATGCTTTAGTGTTAGGATGCTTAATTCTTTTTGCTTTATGTTGTTGGCAGGATGTATTCATTGTGATTATTGTCTATATGTAATTGCAGTTATTTCACTTCTGACACATATGCCAATCAGCATTCAGCACTTGCTGCTAGGTTGGCAGCTGGGTTATGTGCTGATCTGGCATCAGCAATTGTTTCTGGGCGTGCCAAAAATGGATTTGCTTTGGTATGAATCACTGAGTTGCCTCTATTATCTATCATCATTAGTCAGAATTTAAGGTTGTTATCTATTAACTATTAAGTTTATTTTTGTTCCTCAATCAATCAGGTTAGGCCTCCTGGTCATCATGCTGGTGTAAGACATGCAATGGGATTCTGCCTTCACAATAATGCTGCCGTGGCAGCATTGGCAGCTCAAGCTGCAGGGGCTAGGAAGGTGCTAATTTTGGATTGGGTAATGTCCCTACTCATAATATGCCAGTGAATTTATGTGATTCTCCTGGAAGCTGTTGTGAATGGTGCCTACACTGTTATTATATTATATGTTGATTGAGCTTCCTGATTATTGTAGGATGTTCATCATGGAAATGGGACACAGGAAATATTTGAACAAAACAAATCGGTGAGCTTTGTTTAGTTATTATGTTCTTTTCTTTCTCTACCTATTGGGTGTATGAAATTTTAGAAATGTGCTAATCTCGCTGTTTTATTTAATATTTTCTGCAATTTGTTTTTTGAACTTTTTAATGTTTTATTGTGACTTTAGGGGCTAAGCTGCTAACTTTTTCATGATTTTACTGGTGCTAAGGAGATTTTTCTTTCCTGTAGGTCTTGTATATATCATTGCATAGACATGAGGGAGGAAAGTTTTATCCTGGTACTGGAGCTGCTGAAGAGGTACTTGATTGCAGACAAATTTTCAAATTAAACTGCTGCTGCTGGCCAACTTAGCCAGGTGCTTTTTGGTCTGGTATTAGTGGAAATATTATTATTTATTTGGATTTTTTTTTTAAATAAACCAAAAGGGATGAAGATAAGTATTGCATTGATTGATGTAACGTGGCTAATCTTGATGACAAGTGGAATCTAGACTGAGTATGTTTTACTTTTGTCCTGCAGATATGATTAGATTTTGTGGATTTGAATTGGTTAGATAGCGTTCAGCGTGTTGTTCATTGTAGAATTCTGGAAGATCATCTATTGAGTGTGTTTGGGAAAACTTATTTCCCAACTTTCAGCTGTTTTTTTTATAGCAAAAAAAAGCCGTTTGTGAAATAAGCTGGTTCTATTTTTTAAACAGCTTTTTTCTTGAAAAATAAGCTATTTTAATGAATCTGAAAATTTGAAGCTTATGATTATTTTCCAATAGCTTTTTTTTTTCTCCTGAAACTAATTTACTACATAAAAGCTGATTTTTTTTTTGTGTCCAAACAAAATTAAATATCACAAAGTCACTTTTCATCAAATTTATCCAAACAAAAATTCATTCCGATTATAATCAATTACAACAATAATCGATTATACATATAATCAAATTTTGAAATAATATATTTTTCACAGATTTTTCAATAAATCATTTTCATCTTTTTTTTTTAATTGTATTTTAATATTTTAAAAAAAATATATCAGTTGTTAGTTTTTTTTTTTTTTTTTTTATCACTATAAATTATTTATCATAAAACTATGTTCAAAAATATTTATTTATTACAAATTTTAATTATAAAAATTTATATATTCAAAATTATTTATTTATTAAAAATTTTAATTATATAAAATTAACAATTGTACTGTGCTTTACGCAAGTTAAAATACTAACACGACTGTTATTGCCATGTGCATTTCGGCTAGTGGATTTTTAGCGTGCCTCTTCTATTCTGTTCTGCACTCTGGTTGCGACATTTTTACTTTGGGTTGTAAAATGCCTATACATCTTTAGAAGTTTCTTCTATTTTGCCCTGATATCTTGTTCTTGCTGAAACATGGCAGTGTTTTGATCACTTTATTTCATGAATTATAGGAAGAATGCTGGCTACTGTATTTGAATTTTGAGAAGTGGTCATAAGTTCTTTTCATCTGTTCAGGTTGGTAGTATGGGTGCAGAAGGATACTGTGTGAATATTCCATGGAGTCGAGGAGGAGTTGGTGACAATGATTACAATTTTGCATTTCAGCATGTTGTCCTTCCTATAGGTTAGCATATATTGTGGCCTATTGATTCATGGATGATGGATTGATCAATATTTTCGGAATTCTCTTGGGAACAAAATGAACAAATGGTGAATGAAATTAACTACAAGCTCACCTCTTTTGTTTGACATCAGTAATGATAATATAATAATAATAATTAATGTACTAGAATCTATTTTCCAAGCATGATATTAAAATTTCAACCTTGGTTTAAAGGCGATAATATACTTTTGGTTGTTGATCCAAATTTGCCTGATGTGCTGCTGTGGAAGATTGATTCTTTGGAAACTGGCAACAATCTTAAAAATTTAGAATGCCTACAAATATTGGATTGTAGCATGTGTATCTCAAGAAGTGCCATTGTATTATATGATATTGTATTATTCTCATCCCCTGGGTTGTATCTTTTAAAATATACAATATTCTCTACTTGAAAACATTAATAATGAACGGCATGACTTTTCAGCTTCCAAGTTTAATCCAGATTTTACCATAGTATCTGCTGGATTTGATGCTGCAAGAGGTGATCCCCTAGGATGTTGTGATGTAAGAATTTTACTGACTCAATCTTTATCTTTATTTGTTTATTTATTTTTTTATTTTATGAATTGATTAATTGGACTAAAATCTGGACTGTGCAAGAAATTACATCAAATTGCCATATAAAGAACTTATCTGTTTTACTGTTTGATTAAGTGTTAAAAAAACATTAATTTAAAAAAAATAAATTTGACTAATAAATCAGCATTTTACGAGGTTTACATTGAAACTCTCATCAATGATGCAGGTTACTCCCTCTGGCTATGCACATATGACACATATGTTGAATGCTCTTTCTGGCGGAAAATTGCTTGTTATTCTTGAGGGGGGGTCCGTAGCTCATGCCTTTCATACTCGTTTATTCTATTAGGCTCTGTATTTTGCTTCAAGTTGATTTCGATACATTTTACTGCAGCTATAATCTTCGTTCTATATCATCTTCTGCAACTGCAGTAATCAAGGTGAATTTTTTTGGCCCTTCATTATCTGTAGTGATATCCTTGTTTGGCTGTGCCTCCTTTTCATTTCTTTTACACCCCCTCTTCCCCCGCATCCAGAAGGGTGTATTTAGCTGGTCATTGTTAATTGCTAATATATGTATGCAATCTGTTGCATGGTTGTGACAATTGAGAATGATATATCAGAGCTTATTTCTCCTTGATATATCTCTGTTTTTTACTCGGGTCCCATTGGAACAGGTATTACTGGGTGAGAGTCCTGGATGTGAACTGGAAAATAGTTTCCCTTCCAAAGCTGGCCTGCAAACTGTTCTGGAAGTCCTCAAAATTCAGATGAACTTTTGGCCTTCCTTGGGTCCCATTTATGTGAATTTGGAGTCACAATGGAGGATGTACTGTTTTGAAAATAAAAGTAAGGAATTGTCTCTGGTTTTTATTTATTGAATTTCATTTCACCTCCTTATTTCTTTTGATATTGTTTTATTTTGATAAATTTAGGCTAGTTGGGGGACAAATGGGGGGATAAGTAGTGGGGAGGGGGAAATTGGGTATCTCATTCCCTGCTCTACTAACATACTGTACAGTCTGAAAGAGATTAGAATCAAGTATTTTTAGGTCTAAATACCTGATCATCATCATTATTATTATTCTTTGTAGGGAAACAGATTAAGAAGCGACGCCGACTACTGGTTCCAATGTGGAGGTGGGGACGAAAACGGTTCTTATTCCATTTTCTGAATGGCCATCTTAATGTAAAATCGGAGTGATTATGATGAGCTGGATATTTTTGTAAGAACAGGAAATGCATAGCAATTATCAGCATGTTGTATATTCCATCTTCGGGACAGCATTTTATTTGATCGTCCAACTCATTTGTGCGGAAGGGAGACAAATCGGGGAAAAGGGGGGGTTTTGGGGGGTCGGCCAGTGTAAGGGATGAAATTGATTCCCCAGTTCCTTGTTTGAACACCGAATTTTGATAGTTACCAAATGGGAAAAATGATAATTGAAAGCACTTTCTGCCCCCAACTAAAAAAACTTGTGATAAAAACTTGATCAAAGATGTGGTGGTGTCTTGTCATCCTTTATTTTACTGTTTTAAATCCAACATTGTCTAAACAAGTTTCCATGATATCCAATATTTTATTATGCTTTTGCGGCAAAACAAGATCTATTTCAATTTGGGTTAATGCTACTCAGCTCGTAGCCATATCCTTTTTTAGTCATTTATAATTATATAGCCATCTCAATAGAGGTCTTCATCCAGTGGTCGATTGTCTTGAGAAGCATATTACCTTACAGTCTGAAATGTACATGATTTCCATGATTAAATTGAGTTTAATTGTAAGCTATTTCTTTTTGGGTGTAAGAAAAATGTAAAATGAAGAGATAATAGTTGCCTTGACATTGGATTGATTGGTCTCGGAAATATTTTTAAAACTCTTACCTGGAAATACTACATTCTTAAGTTTACATTCTTGGAAATAAGTTTAAGTGAAATAAACACTTTGTATTGGGTCCTGGAAGAGTTAATACAGCATCATCTGAGTAATCTCTACTGTTATGGTACAGCTGACAATGGAAGCAAACAAATTGTTGTCTATCTTGTTTGGCACCAATTAGATGAACTGAACTTTATTGAGCTGTATTAGTGGATCTTGTCCGAAATAATTTGGAGGTTCCAGGGTTCCTTGTCTGAGATGTAAGATGGAGATGGAATAGAAGTGATGCCAAACATAGACATAGACATAGCACAAGACATAAAGCCACCAATTCCTCCCTCTTTCTTCTATAAAACTCAGATTAATATGTTCTAGTTTAGTTAATATCAATTTGAGTGCTTTTAATGAAGATCAAGTCACTTATTTTATAAATGATTTTGCTATGCTTCAAATTAAATGTCTTTTCATGGCGTTTTCCAGGAAATTATGGATTTTCTTGTGTGAAAATTGGAGCTAAGTTAAAGCAACATGAAATGTGTTGTAAAAATTATGACCGAAATAGTGTATGCAGCTTTGGAGGTCTCTACATTAGAATTTGGCTGCTTATATTTTAACAAAAAATCAAATTCTTACACAAAAAAACACTTAATTTAGTAGAAATAAGGAATTTACTTAAAAGAAATGATAAGTTGCATGATCTTATTAAAAGTAGAAGAGTTGTTTAAAGACTAGAACTAGAAAGGCAAAAAAGCAAATCAAATCAAATTATATACATATATGCCAAATTGAAAACTGTGCTATCTAACAAAGCAAATGTTACAACCACAAGTTAGAATTGATAAAAAGAAAAAAATAAATTAAGTGAACATAAATAATAATGGGTTTTTTGCCCATTTGCACGTCTCTGAATTGTTGCCCCATTGCACCTTGCAATTGTTTAGTCATTAAAAATAGAAAATACAAAAATCAAATTAAGCAAAAAATCTAATTTCTCTCCTCCACACTTATCCTATGTATGTTTAGATGGAGGGGGAAAAATAGAGGACCAAAGAAAAAATTTCAAATTGCTTCGTTAGGTTAAGAAGAAAATTAAGGAAAAAAGAGAATTTTTTAATAAATAATTTTTTTTACCACACCATTTTTCTTATATGAAATTGAGTTAGAATTAACATTGTTCTTAATGTAAAAAAAAAAAACAAAAAAACATGAAGTTAAATGATAGTTTAAGTGGTATATTTTCTCTTTATGCAAGAATTTTTTGTCATGTTTATGAAATTAAAAATAAAAATCACTAGGTAAGTTAGTCCTACCACCTTTAGAATGTTGCTAGTTTGAATAAAATTGTCTTTTGTTCTTCGGATCGTACAAAAAAAAGAGAAAAGAATAATCATCGAAGCTCTTATAATTGTGGTAAAATAGAAAATAAAAAACAATAAAAATCAAAGAAATAGATAATTATTTTAACAATTAGGGTGAATTTAGTGTGAGAATTTGGATAATATACACAACTTTTTATTTTCTAACTTATTATTGTCATTATAAGCGGATTTCTTTTTATCGTGATTGGTAAATTAGTAGATTTTTATAATAATTATTTAAGAATTTTAATACCATAATTTTGAATTAGTTAATGTAATAATATACAAAAAATTAAACTCTTAAGACAATTTTCAGGGCCACCAAAAACAACACCTCCATGTATCTGCTCCATTCTCACTCGTTTTCCTGTGTCTCTACCAGTCCCATCTTTATCTTCTTCTCCCTTTTTTCATGTAGAAGTAACTCAAAAATTTGAATCATTAGGCAAGTGTCAAAAATATGTATTTCAAAGTTACAGAAATCTGTTCATTAGCATTTCTAGCACCCTGAACAAGGGTGAAAGCTCTTGAGGTAAGAGATACGACAAGCTTAATAACACAGAGAAGTTCATTCATTTGCTTCAAATCCTTGGTATTTAAATCCACATCTATCTCCATATACACCACAAGGCAATTCTTAGCATCACATCCACCACCTGAGATGGAAAGTGGCAAAATCAACTAACTCTATACTGACATTTAAATTTTAAACTAAGTACCATTGGATTCATTAAACAATTTCCTTGCTTAAGCTAGAGCAGAATTTAACACAACCAAATTTATGACTTTCCACATAAAGGACTTACTTTACATACTAAAAAGAAAACACTAACTACAAATAAGAAGAAAAAAAAAGGGGGTTGTTATTGGTGCATTGTTGGAGGTGCCATTGGATAAGCAAGAGGAAGAACATAAGGTGGATGAGGATGAGGATGAGGATGAGCATGGGGATGAGGGTGGGGTCCAGGAGGAAGCATGACAGGAGTGCCAACTGCAGATGCCATATGCCCTGGAGGAGCTGCCACAGGATGCCCTACTGGTGTTCCATACATGCCTAAACCAGCTGGTATGTGACCCTGAACTCTATGCTTCATCGATTGTCCTACACCCATTGTACTTGGAGAAATTGTGCTACTATGCTGCCCTGTAATTGGTGCTTGATTGTTTGCCACATCTCCATTGTTCACACTAGTGATATCATGGATACTAGACCTCCTCCTGTCTCTATTCATAGAATTCAACCTTATGAAGTACTTTTGTGCATGACTTGCAACTTGAGTGGGAGTCCTAGAAATCACAAAGTTCCTTGAAATGCTTCTCCAATCTCCTTTTCCAAACTTGTCTAGACCAAGTAAAAATAACCTGAACAAATTGAAAAGAAAAAAAAAACTTGTTAATTACCCTTTACATGGATTCTCATATAAGCAAATTTATTACACCTGACTTATTCAGATGTGTGTGTGCACGCACATGCATGTGTTGGTGTACATGGAGCATATAAAGTAAGAGGAGTTAGTTACTATGGGAGTTAAAAGTTATGGTAAATGTAATTGGAAAGTACCTGTGCTCCTCTTCAGTCCATGGAATTCCCTTTCTCCTTTCTTGTTCTGATGACCTTGACAAGCCTCCTTTACCACTATGTGTGGTGGAGTCGTGTCCTAAACCAGAAAAGCCACTTCCAAAACTACAATTTGATCTTTTATCTGAATTTGTGGCCTTGGAAGAGCCATGGAAGTCCTTATTTGAAGATGTGGTTTCCTCAGAAGCATAGTTAGGGAACGATATATGACCTGCCTCTATTGCACTTACATCCTCTACTAGAATCTGGTAATGTTGCTTGACTTCTTCCATGCTTTTGCTGGGAACTGCTGAAGCAATTTTCTCCCATTGCTCTTTTGAGGCCTCCTCAATCCAATGCATGGCGATGGCATTCTCAAAGGCTTTTTCTTCCTCATAGCTCCAAAGGGTTCCACTTGATGACATGGTGGCTCTTGGTTGGATTTGGAATTATGGTTCAACTTTGGAGGATGAGAATGGTGAAATTGGTAGATGGGTGTGTAAGTCATTTTTTGTTGTGTGGATTTTGTCTCTATTGAACAAAGTAGCAGAAGGGGTGCGCAGGATAAGTAGAAGAATCATAATGTGTGTAGGATAAGAAGTAAAGTGGTATCAAACAATCAATTTCAAGAGGACCACACTCTGTATTTGAAGGGATGTGTTATTTGTCATGTTCATTCATATAATTTTTTTTCCTGTTTGCATATTTCTATAGAAGAACTCTCTCTCACAGTTATACAATACTGACCAAAGGGTGTAAATGAGTATGAGCAATATGTTTACTCTTTAAAAATATTACCTTGTTTAGGGGAAAAGGGCAGAAAAAGCTTTACTAAAAAAAGTATGTTAGAATTTCTTTAATTATCTAAGAAGAAAATAGCATAAAAATGGTGTAAAAATTTCAATGTACCTACATCGTTTCTAAATGAGTATATAGTAGGCCCAATAGAATTTTTTTGCAATACAACCATAATTAAATGGAATCTCGACCATACCAATGAATAGACCACTGGGGATAAAGACAAGTTCATTAAGGTATGGGTTCTTTTTCCCTTCTCATTGAATTATTTAAGTATAACTTGTGAACTAAAATTTTCTTGTCACTTGTTCCTATATAAAATACCTCTTTGAATTAAATTAACTGTGACTGTATTTAGTTTATCTTACAGCTGAATAAAGTAAAACAATATGGGAGATAGGAATATTAATTTCAACCTATAATTTTCCATTAAAGGGGTGCTTGGAAGAACTTAGATGGCTTTTATTTTGTTATACTTTATCATATAAACTCTTAAATCTAAAATTAAAAGTGTTAATTAAATAGGATATAAACATTTATGACACAAATTCTCATGTAATAAACTTCTTAAATAAACAATGAATATAATAATTGTTACCTATATCTTATCAGGGGATGAAATTCAAATCTGATATCATGCTGCTCTAATCCAAACTTCACAAAATACATGACACATGCCGTACCTCCAATAGAATTATAGTATTTGTCTTATTGAAAAATGAAAAGCTAGAGACGTGGCGAATTCTCCACGTCTGCTCTGGGATAATATGAACCACAATTTGCAAATTTCCCTTTTAGCAAAGAGGAACCTATTCATTTACGCTATGAAAACTAGATGAATACTATCCACATCCACCCACTAATATTATAAAGTGAATAGTTTTCACATCAAAAAATATTATGTACAGTGTCAAGTTGCAACTAGGAATAGCACAATACAACGTCAAGTTGCACCATAACAACTGAAACTTCTATGTTACTATTCTCTCTCGGAGAAGGGGAATTGGTTCTCATGTAAAGTTTTCACATGATAACTTCATTTATTGGTGAATTTCTTTCTGAAATTAATTTTTGGATAATCATTTTATCAGTATGAAATATTTTTTGACTTTTTTGATGATTACTCTGTTAATTTACATGGTTGCCAACTTTTAATAGTCAACAACAATTTTTTTTATCCACAATACTAGAACTTAAATCTTTACTTTAAAAATTGACTGTGTTACTCGATTTGTTAATATTTGTGAAGCTGTCTTTTTGCATCCTATTAATAATTTTAGAAATTTATACATTAAAATAATGAATTTACACACATATAAAAAATCGGATATTTATGCTTCTAATTTCCCTTTAGCATATGTAAGTTAGAAGTGACATCCTTCAGATACGTCTAAAAGTAGTACAATTTAATCAACATACAACAACAAAGGCATTTCTTTATGATTAAGACCTGCTGATGTTACCATATAACTACTTTGCATTTACTGAAGATATAACTCAGGTCAGGGCACAGTAGAGCACAAACTTGAAGTATCTCTTTTCTCTGATAAAATAAAACGGATACCACACATTGTTTCAAGAGGGGAAGGACTCGGTTATCAATGATGATATACAAGATGTTAACAAAGTAGGTTCTACCCAGTCGAAGGGTTTTGAATTCAATTGCAGCTAACGACCCTAAAATGGTAAGCATAAGCTAAATGGAGTACAACCTACCTTGATTTTTTTTAACCATAAATTGATATGATATCTATAGACAGAAATAATGACTAATTTTCATCATAAATCATAATCATACATTCAGCGAGTATTTTTAATATAATTTGTTTTATATTTAAAATTAAGATTCAAATCTTAAATAACTAAATTAAAAATATAAGTCGTTACTGTTTATTTATATAGGAGAAATCCACCTTGATTGATGGACAGAGTGTCCACATCCTAAAATTTCCATGTACCACTGAGGTTCAGCTTTCTTTTCATGAACAAATAAATCTGGGTCCTAATCCTTAGTCACGCCATATAATTACAACAGGAAGTAGCAAATCGAGCATTGAAGTGACAAGTAGATACCATGGTTGACACATGTCATAATAATCATAATCATAATGATGATAATAATAATCATAATAAATCATTCTGATCATAATGACCGTATATGTTGAACGACAAAACCCTGCTTTGGCTGTTTACATTATTTTTTGGACAAATCTTTAAAAATAAAATAAAAACAAAGTGACATTTGTAATTATGAAAAACAGAAAATCGTTCTCAGACAACAGGCCATTATCTTCCAAGTCTACCCTCAATTTTCATTTCATTAAAGATACCTTCAACTTCAATTTTTTTTTTTGCTACAGAGTCCTTGTTTTATTTCATCTAATATTTGCTATTTAGTTTTCTATTCTTTGAGTACCTTTTACTGTTCCACACAAGCGTTGCAGTTACAACCTATGATATGAGGACCTACACAGGCACATTCTGAACCGTCGATATCTTGAGTGTATATCCAATGGATAAAATTTCAAAAAGGAGCAAGTAGACAGAGTCAACCTTAATAAGCTTTTTGCTAGTTTCATAAGTCATAACCTTTCTCAGAAGTGGTCTTGTCAATATTAATCACAAATCAATTCTGCACATTACACTCGTAAGTTGTCACTGTATTAATATCATTATATCAATACTTGTTAGTTACTAAAAATATGGATGATTCAAAGTGACTTACAAATAGCAATCTAAAACTGCCAGTGAGGGTTGCACACGAGACATACAAGATACAACCCATTTAATGAATCTTTCCTTGAGAAACAATCCATTGCATAGATTGAGAATTTTGGAATTGTAGAAAGCGTGGAATAGTGATCATTACCAAAGGCTAAAACAAAGTGAATAATTTACAACTTGGTCCTTCATAATAGAAACAATATGAAGCCACAATACAATTATCACCGACCGACAAAGGCAAACTTACAGCCTGGCAAGTTTCAAATAAATGAAATTCCCATGTATGTTTGTCAAGAGGCACGTTATCTCATGTCTGCTTCTTGGAGTGGATTGATCAATCAAAGTGCTGTTATTGCACAGCTATTTATTTGAAGAAAAATATGAAAATCAGCAAACAGGTTTTTCTATTGAAATGAATTGCATGACATACAAAGTGGGATGCCTGCAAAAATAAGTCTTACCCCATGACTTGTCCGAGGTCACAGAAATCCTCTCAATCAGAGGCAGTGACTTAAAAAGAAGGGTGCCTTTGAGGACCATAAGAAGACCACCTGTTTCATGTTTTTACCATTAAATGGCTGATGCAGAAGACACTTCCCCGGCTTGAACGAGTGCATGTGCCGAAAGTTTTGCCAATTCTGGGTTACCTTGCAGAAGGGATGCCCTTTGTGGATTTGAAAGCATGAGTTGTTGCATGTCTTTTGTAAGTGCATTGAAAACTGCCTGAAGATCTCCCACCAGTTTCTGACAAGTTGCTGTAGAATCAATACCTCCGTTTCCAGGTTGCTGCTGCTGATAATTGCATTTCACAGAGAAATAAAAGCAGTGTATGTTTGATTTACAGCTAAAACAATCCTATGTTTTATGGATATAATATCCTGCAGCACAGTTTGCAATGAATAATAATGTCTGGTCATGAGCATAGTATACTTCAAAAGGGCCAATTAAACTTTTGGACCTGTTTGAGCCTAAGTAATGGTATGCCTAACCTATGAAAATACAAACGATAGGTTTTCTTATACATAGCATGGGAAAACCTTTCATCCCGAAACACTTTATCACCCAAATGCTCATGCTATTTGACCCACAATCTCTTACTGGCGACTGGATGAATCATATAAGCAAGTATTCTACTGGATGACTGTTTCCCCACAATGTCCAGGATAAAATAAAATATATTTAGTTATCATATACTTTTGTGTTGAACAATCAGTCTTGGTATATTTTGATCATTAGTCTTGTTGGATCCAAAGCTACATATAAATTGCTAGTAAAAAAGGGTTCAAGTTCTCATAAAACATTTTAAAACTTGTGACATAATACATTAGATCAGAGACTTAGTCCTTAGCAAATGCAAATAATGAAAATAATTATTAATTAAAATAAGGGTTTGTTTTGATAAATTTTTTCAAAATTACTTATAGGAGAAAAAAATATGAAGGAAAAATTAAATAAGTCTCCATAACCTAAAACTAGTTTATGTATAAGTTAAAAATAAGTTTCTGGAGAAGTTAACATGAGGGAGCTCCTACAAATTAGTTTATACATAAGTTAATTTTATCTTATAAAGAAGCTAATTTAATTTTTCTTTCCTCTTTTCTTCTCCTAAAAGTGTTTTTGGAGAAATTTGTCCAAACAAATCCTAATTGTAGACACAACACAAAGCCTTATTCATGTGGGGACAATATTAAAAGAAAGGCACAATCAATTAAAACATAATTGGAGTACCCTATGAGGGTAGGTTACCTGTAATTCTCTAAGTAGGAGTCTCTCTATAACATTGAAGGAATCCACAATTTCCAACTCAGACATTTTAGATATAAGCTGTTTTATATCAGCTTTCATTCTTGCATGCCTCCACAATCTATCTTGCTCCTGTTCAGCTACAGCACGCCTCCTCTGAAACCAAGGCATGAAGTTGGGTCCATTCAGGAACCGCCTGATAAGTATATTCATGTGAATCATAAAGAATATAAATCTAATTAGTGAAGTCCGAGGAACTAAAATTTTAGTGAAAGATTACACTGTAAAAGACTATCATACTGAGAGCTAGGTAGCAAATGATAGTAAAAGACAAATCTTGCAAACAAAATTCATTACCTGTAGAAGTTGAGCCAGTTAGATTTCATTCTCTTTAAAATGAACTTCCCTGGACCTCTGGCTGATAAACTTGCAAGAAATTCATCAGCATTAAATGGAGGCAAAGAAGGAGGATCTGCATAAGGAGAAGATCCTTCCAATGGCACTGTAGTCCTAAAATATGGACCAAAAGGGGCTAAAAAATTAGTTGTAAGCTCCAAGAAATGTCTCCTCAGTATCTCATTGTTAACAACTGACATAGACTCCTCAACTCTTGGTGAGACTCCAGCATCTATAAGTCTATTCAAAATAGAGGTGTCCGGCTTAGTTGTGGCAGAATATGTAGTCCAAATGGCTTCCTTATGTTCTGTCATGAGACAAAGAGGACCCTCTCTCCGTAGCTTAATCGCATTCAACAAACTTGAAGGAGAAAACTTTTGTAGGGAAA